GGGGGCGCCGCGCGGTGGCCGGCCCCGAGCGTGTGCTTTGTGGGCCCCGTCTGCGCGCAGGCCACGTGGGCGCGTGTGCACCACGCTGGGGACCAGGAGCGGGGGGCCCTGGCGGGGGGCCTCAGCGGCGGTAGCGGCGGTGGCGGCGGCGTGTGCCTGCGCCGCCCCGCGCGTGTCTGTCTGGGCGGGGAGGCTCAGCGGGAAGCCTGGGGCGCAGGCAGGCAGCGCAGGCATGTGCGCTGCTCGTGCTGGGGCTGGTCTGGGGCAGGCCCTGGCGGAGCCGCCCTGTGCCCGCGGCCAGTCTGCGCTCGCCCGCCACTTCCTGGAAGCCCGCGGGGCCCGGCTGGGCGTCTTGGGTCCAGGATGCGGGAGGGCCTGGCGTGTATGTTGGCGGAAGCTGCTGGTGGCCCCAGACCCCCACCAGGGGAGGAGATGCTGGGCCTTGGTGCTGGGCCTGCCTCGCTTGGAGCCGCTTGTTGGCGTTTTGGTTGGTTGGTTCCTTTTTTGGGGAGAGGGCGCCTGAGGCAGAGGGGCGTGGTTTTCCCTGGGTGGGGTGGTGGCCAGTCAGGCAGGGGCCCTGGGTTCTCGAGGGAGAAGGCTTACCCATCTCTGTGGGCTGCTCTAGCGGGCAGACTGGATTGGGTCTCATGGTGCCTGACTTGGACTGAGGCTTTGGCAGGGTGCTCAGTTACTGTCCCTTGCGCCTGTGACTGGGGTGGGGCAAGAACGTGAGGTGGCCCTGGGAGGTGGGACGCAGGGTGGAGGGACAGTTCAAGGTGCTGGGTGGGCCTGGGGAGGGGCAAGGGTGATGACGGGCCTCCCGGACTGTTAGCCAGTGGCAGCACCAGGAGCCTGTCCACCTGGCGTCCTGGTCCTGAAAGAGCTAACCAGCAGGACCTACCTCGTCTGGATGCTGGCCCCGCCCTGCCCCGGCTCCAGACTCTGGCCTGGGCCTCCCTCGGTGGCCCATCCTCACTCCTCTGACCCCTCTGCTCCCTGCCCTCGTGCCGGAGCAAAGCCGGGTCTCCGGGAGGGAAGAGTGTCCCAGCTCAGAACAGGGCAGGCACGGGAGGCTGGCCCCGGGCGGTTGGATCGGCCCAGCCCCTGCACCCCCACAGCCGGCAAAGCAGGCAGGTCTGTGCAAGACCTACAGGCTGTCATCTGGGCTTGGGCCTGGGCCAGCGCAGCTCTGAATTGCTACCTGAGGACGTGTTTTCTGCCCAAGTTGGCAGCCGTGGGCGTGGGGGCAGGGCAGCCAGGAGGAATGCGGCGGGCCGGCGCGTGTCCCTCGTGGCCCTCTCCCCGCTGGCCAGCTGGCGGCGGGCGGGATGGGGCAGGCCCGGTCTTTCCTTGAGCCTCGGGCGCCGGGTCCCAGCCAGCTCCTCTCCCTCCCCCTGCTCCTGGCTAGGGACCTCCAGTGCCGTCAGAGGGGCAGGTGGCCACCCTCTGGGTGGGGGACCAGAGTCCCAGGGTGACAGCGTGGAGGGCCGTGTGGTGCCTCCTCTTCTGCTGGCTTGCGTTGACATGGAGTTGGTGCGGTGATCCTGGCACTTGGGCAGCCCAGCCCCGTGCCTGGAGCTGGGGCGTTCTTGCTGCTGGGGCCACCTAGGGGTACAAGGACTGTGCCCCTCAGTTGGGAGGGTGGGAGGGCTCTTGCCCAGGACCAACTAGGATTCTTGGGACCCCCTGCAGGGAGAGGGTAGGAGGAGGATCTTGAAAGTGCCAGCAGAGGGTGGATGGTCCTGGAGGAAGGACATGGGACCTCAGCCAGAGTCCTCCTGCTCCCTGGCCTCTGCCCCTCGCCTTCTACACCCTGACCTGACCTCGCGCAGCTGGTCTGGTTGGTGGCCTTGGTAACCTGTGGTGTGCAGTGGGTTTGCTCAGCCTCCATGTGAGTGGTGGCCACCACGACCTGGGATGTAGGTCATAGGGAGAGACTGCGGTGGGCAGCCGGGTGTGGAGCTGTTCGTCCCCTCTGACCCCGTGCTCCCAGGTGGATAGCGACACCCAGACCTGGAAGAGTAGAGGCTGCATTTGTGCACAGCGGGTTGGGGGTGGGCTCTGGAAGGATGGCAGGTGGCTGATGGAGGGGCCGCAGGAGCTTTCTGCTGGGGCTTGGTGGGTGGGGACTCAGAGGGAATGAGTCCAGCTGGAGGCCCCAGCCCCTCTGCCCAGAAGCCCACCCAAGGCCCTGCCTCCTCCCAGGGAGTCTCCTTGCAGTGGATTTGATCCTTCTTGAGTGCTTTGGGCTCTAGGGCCTAGAGACAGCCTGTGTGCATGGCACGGATAGGGCCTGGTCCTCGAGAGGGGGTGGTGCTGGGGCAACCACATTGTTAGGGGTGGTCTGGAGAACTGGGAAGACCCCCGCCTGACAGCTCTTGGGAGCAAGGTCCTGGGATCCTCTGTGGTTCGTGGAGTGGGGTGTGCACTGGGGTGGGGTCTGGCATGTTGTTCCACATGGCTTGGGCTCTGCCGGCCCCCAGCCTCAGCCCAGCTGGCCCCCGTCCAACCTCTCCTCCACTGGCTGCCAAGGTCCCTGAGGGGCCAGTGATGGTCCCAGTGGCTGAGAGAAGAGGGCTGGGGGCAGGGCAGCCCATGAGGGAGTGAGGTGACACCGGGGTGGCTGGGTGGTGGTGGCCTGTGTTGAGAGGCATCTCTCTTTCTGCTTCCAGGTCTCCAGAAGGGGCCTCTGGTATGGGTGACCCTGTCTCCTGCCCCACCTCCACCCACTCCCGGGCTTTCTTCCACCTTGCCCTAGACTGAGGCCTGGGCAGGGAACTCGGTTACTGTCCCCGGGCAGCTGGTCGGCCCAGCCCCTGAGCCCCCACAGCCTGGCTTCCAGTATGTCTCCCAGATCCCCTGCTGTGTTCTAGAATGCAGCTTCCTTGACTTGCTGCAGCTCCCCTCAGCCCTGAGCGGGCTACTTGGCCCCATGGCATTGTAGGAAAGCATCCTGTGGTCTCAGCCCCACAAAAGGGTCTTGTTGAAGGAGTGGGGGCGGGGCACAGACAGGTCTGGATGTGAACTCATGGTGGCTGTCCCCACCTCTTCAGCCCAGAGTTCAGCAGCTGGGACCCCACCCTAAGCCCCATTTTGTGCCCTGCGCTGTGCTCCAGCTTCATCCCCGCTCCGCACCTCACCTACCCAAACATGGCAGCCTTGCTGAAGGCTTTGGTATGGGGGGCATTGGGGCAGGGAGGCAGCCGGGACAGAGGGAGGAAGAGGCCCCATGTGGCCAGTAGAGTCGGGAAGCTGGGGGCTTTGTCCCTGGGCCCTGTAGGGGTAGGTCATGGCAGTCAGGTGGCTTCATGACACGGAGGGGGGTTGCGGGAAGGTTTGCAGCAGGGAGAGCTTGTAGTTCTCAGGGACCTGCTAAGGCTGCCGTGGGGTGGCTGGACATGGGCAGGCTAGGCTCATGAAGAGGCCTGGGTGGGCTGGGGGCTGGAACGTGACCTGGATGTGAGGCATGAGGTCTCTAGGTTTAGAGGAAGTGAGATCAGCACCTCCCAGCCCCTAGGCCTGGACCAAGGTCCCCGTCCCCAGGCCTAGGCTGGGGTCCCCTTTCCCAGTCCTTAGGCCTGGGCCAGAGTCCCCATCCCCAAGTCCCCAGCCGGGGTCCCTATCCTCAGGTCCAAGATGGAGGTCCCTATCCCTCAAGCCTGAGCAAGGTCCAAACCAGGTCCCCATCCCCTGAGTCATGGTCCCTATTCCCTGAGTTGGGGTCCCTGTCTATCAAGACAAGGGTTCCAAATCCCCTCCTCTGAGCTGGGGTTTCTATCCCCATCTCCCATGACCCAGGCTGAGCTGGGCTTGGCCCAGGTCAGTGGTCTGAGCTCAGCTGCAGCAAGCCTGGAGGGACTGTGTGTGGAGGTCTTGGTTGCCTGGGCTGTGCTGTCCCCACGGCAGGGTCCCTGAGGCCTGGAGAGAGTGGCGGGTGAGCCAAGGAGCAGACAAGGCCCTGGTTTGTCCACAGTCACCAGGGCACGTGTCCGGGTTCTTGCTTGGGGTGGCCTGCGGTCCATTCTTCCTGGTGTAGCCCCTGGGCCCAGCACCTGGAGGATGCCCCACCCCCTTGGTGATAATGGCAGTAGAGGCCCTGGCCCTTCGAGGCTCGAGTTTCATGAAACATATCTGTGCATGGAGCTGGGACTGCCATCTCTGTTCTCCGTGGGGGACTGGTCACTCACGTGGGATGTGGTGGCAAAGGGACCAAGCTGGAGCCCTGGGTCCTTGGGCAGTGGGCCAGGGAGGCTGTGCTGGGCTCTCCCGGGCCCTGGGGTGTCAGGCGTCCGAGGTTGTAGGGGTGGCAGGTCTTCGTGTCACTTCCATGTCTTGGGTCTGCTCTCCCCACCACCCACAGAGAGGGGCTTTGGGCCCAGCTTCAGGGATCTGGGCTGGGGAGGAGATGGTCAGCCAGCCAAGAAGGTGCTGGGAGACCTAAGCACACATGGGGTCTCTGACTGCTCCCAGCCCCCATCCTCACCACCACCATTCTCCTTCCATCGCCGGCTCCCCAGCCTGTCTAGTGTGGCAGGACAGCCTCCCAGTTCTCAAGTCCTCTGGGAATTTCCGTGCAGGAGAGCCTGCCCTGGCCCAGACCCCACAGGGCAGGAAGGGCAGGGAGGAGAGGTGGCCATCTGCAGAGAAGGAAACTGAGTCCTGGACAGAGGCAGCAGGCTGGGGAGGCGTTGGGGTGGTGCTCTGGGCGGTTCAGGTTCTCTCTGGATGAGTCCCTGCCGCCCAGGTGTGAGGAGCCCAGCTGGTGGGCGGCGTGCCTCCCTGTGGGAGCAGGTAACCGGAGCTCCATGTTCTGGTGAAGGTGGTGGTAATCCTACCTGTGTGGCTGGCATGGGGTTTCCTGGGAGCTGGAGGTGCTCCCTGCTGGCCCCAGGGCCCAGGGGTGGCCGTACTGGGTGACGGGCCTTGCTGCCCTGTGGCTGCGATTCTAGGAGTGGTCTGTGCTGGTTGCTTTAGGCCCTGGCAGTGGGTACCACTTGCAGGCGTCCCCGGCCCCACTGTCCTGTATCTAGGCTCCTCAGAGCCCATTCCCACCCTGCAGCCAGAGCAGTGGCCACGGCCGTTGACCTCAGTCCCAGAGCCTGGCAGCCGTCTGCTTCTGTCTTCTCATCGTTGTTGTTGTTATTTGCCATCGAGTCGGACCGACTCTTAGCAACTCCTCTTTGGGTTTCCGAGGCAGTATCACTATGGAAGTAGATTGCCCCATCTTCCTTCCAAGGAGTGACTGGTGGGTTTGAACCACCAGCCTTCCGGTTAGCAGTCAAGTGCCTTAGGCACTGCACCACCAGAGCTCCTCTATCTCATCATAGTCAGTGCCAAAGTCTGCAGGAGGCTATGGTCCTCCAGGGGCTGACCCACCATCCCTGCCCCGTGTCCTACATACTCCCAGTCACATGGCTCCCTTGCTGGCCCTCAGCACTGCCTCTGGGCTTGGTCCATTCTGTTCCTCCTGGTTGGGGCCTTTCCTCTCCTCTGTGGACCCATGTCCACCAGCCCTGCCCCTGACAGTGGCCACCACCCTCAGTTCTCCACGTGGCCCCCATCTCAGGGAGTTACTCGCCGCCTCCAAACTCGCTTCCCCCTGAATGTCAGAGGCCGCCCTCCCCAGTGGGGAGCATACCTGCAAACACTTGTGGAACGAATGAATGAGCGAGTGAGCGCAGAAGTTCTGGGAGGAGCCCAGTGCTCAAACTGGCGGGGACACTGGGAACTTAGGGCCTGGCTAGGCAGAGGGCCTGAGGACAGTATTCCAGGTGGAGGGGACAGTGTGGTCTGCTGAGTTGAGGCACAGCTGGAGTGTGGATGAGAACAGGCCAGGCCTCCAAGGCCAAGAGGAAGGCATCACGGGGCTGTGAGCGGTGGGGATGCGTGACAGCACTCTGGGGATTGTTGGGGCCTCCTGTGGAGGGGCTCGGAGGGCCCAGTGGTCACAGGGAGCCCTGGCCTGGTGGCGTGGCCAAGGGTGATGGTGGCCATGGGACAGGCGAGGTGTTTCAGAGACTGGATGGAGAGGCCTAGTGCCAGCCTCACGGAGGTGGGGGCGCGGTGGAGAGTGGCAGAGTCTGTCCTGTTTCTCAGTGGGAGCTGGGGCTGGTGTGTGGGAGGCTCTGGGGGTTGCCCCTGGGGCTGGACTCAGGGGGGAGGGTCCGGGTGGCACCTGGCACATTAGTGTAGACACGGTGGTGAGACTGAGGGGTGTGTCATCCCGAGGGAGGAGGTACACCTGGGGGCGGGCAGGAGGTGAGGGGTCCCTGTGGGCCCGGTCAGGGTCAGGGCTGTGGGACCAGCAGGGCAGTGGGTTGGGTGGAGTAGGGTGTGGGGTACAGGGGGCCGTGGAGGAAGTGAGGGCCTGTGCTGGCTGCCTTGGGTGGACTAGGGGCCAGCTGGGCGGAGCCCTGGGGGAAGAGTGACGTGGTTTCCGGAGAACAACCGGGGCTTCAGGGACTGAAAGGGTGTGTGTGTGTGTGTGTATGTGTGTGTGTGTGTGTGAGATCTGGCCTCCCTTAGGTCTGCTTTAAGACATGTCCCGTTGGGTGGGGTGGCCAGTCCCGGAGGTGAGACCTAGCCCTGTCCATGGCTCCTAGCCTAGAGGTGGTGGTGGGGGACCCAGGACCTGTGGGAGGGTGGGGTGTGGCCTGGCCAGGGCTGTGCTAGTGCCCCTCCTGCCATCCACACATGCTTGTGAGTGATGGCCACCGAGGCCAGCAGGTTCTGGTCATCTTGCCGGCTGCAAGATTGCTCAGGGCTATGGGCTGACAGCATCAGCCCATCACAGTGGCTTGGAGCACGAGGCCCAGATGGCCCTAAGAGGGCGGGGTGGCCACCACTGGGCTATGGCTACACGGTCTGTCCCGGGCCTCAGTTTCCCTTTTGTGTGGCTGTCTGGCACATACCATGTACCTGCTGGGGTGCATGGTGTGGGGTGACAGAGAGGGAGCTTGGGTGGGCCAGGGCTCTGCAGTGGGCATGCTCTCTAGGGGCAGCTGGGGTGTACTGGGACATTGTTTCTCTCAGGCTGGGAGCAAGACCTGGTGTTCCCCATTGAGGCCAGACCCCAGCCAGGCAGGGGTGGGGTTCCCACTTGGCACCCTCTGGTCACAGCCTCCCATTGAATCCTGGCTGCATCTGTGCCTGCTTCTGTCCATCTGCTTCTCTGCCGATTCCCTCTCCAGCTCAGGACTGGCCTGCTTGGGCTGCTGGGGCCCAAGCCTGAGTCTCCCCCCTGAGCCCAAAAGGCCTGGAGTTGTGGCCTCCCCCTCTGTGCCTAGTGCCCATTACCTGCTGCCGTTGGTGGGATCCCCCAGGAGACTTGGCCTGAGGGGGTGAAGGGTGAGACGTTGGCACCCTGACAGACTTGGGGAGCAGAGTCGGGGGCCCAGGGAAGGGCGGGCTGACCCCGTCACTGGGGTCCAGGGAGGCAGGTAGGGGGGCCTCAGGTATCTGATCGGCTTCTTCTTTGTGTCCATAGCGCTCGTTCACCCTCATTGTGGAGGCCTGGGACTGGGACAACACCACCAACCCCGATGGTGAGTAAAGCCGGGCAGGTGGGTGGGTGCCTGCTGGGCCTCCCTCAAGGCACTAGGAGGCTGACTCACCTTGGCCTTGGGGATGGGGATGGCTGGGTTCCTGTCCTCTGCCAGGACAAAGGCCCCTGGGCCAGGAAATTTCCTTTACCCAGGGAGCTTGTGTGCTCTTTCCCTTCTCATCTTGGCTGCCAGGGACCTCGCTACAGCTGAGCTTTACAGAGCTGTGTGTGGACTGTTCTAGTCCTGCTCTTGTTTCTGTCTTTCTCTGTTGGGCATGTTTTTTTGGGTCCATGTTAGAGCCACAGTGTAGTGAGACCCTCTCAAGGGCTTCTCACTGGCTTTATGGCCCCCTCTTTTTTTTTTTTATTAGGATTTGGGTGAAGATTTACAGAGTAAATTCACTTTTCATACAGCAGTTCACATATACTTTGTCTCATGTCATTGACCAAAATTTACAATGCAGCAGCTCCCCTCCCACTTCCTCCCCATAATTACCTCCTCCCAGTGTCCATCCCTTCATACTCTTCTGCACCCTGAGAGGCCCATTGTCTGCCAACCCTGTATATGATCTTGGATACACTCTCCATTTAGACATACATAATTGTTTAGCTTGTTCACCCATCTATCCGTCCCTATACCCATGTTTGCTTTCATTGACAACTCAGTATTGTATTTGCAAAGGGGTTCATATTTGTTGTTTGTACTGCCCATGTAACTCTCTCTGTCTTTCTCATCCTCAATGCTGCCATATTGGTCACTCACATTTGGTACATTGCCCTTCTCTTCACCCAAATCAATATTTATCTCTATCTATCTAACAGCATTCCCTCCCCTTCCCTCCCACCCCTGGTAACCAACAAAGAAAATGTCCTCCAATATATAAACCTTTCCTTAACTTTCACAATAACAGACTAATACAATATTTGTCCTTTTGTGACTGACTTATTTCGCTCAGCATAATGTCCTCCAAGTTCATCCATGTTATGCGGTGTTTTGCAGATTCTACATTATTCTTTAGCGTTGCATAGTATTCCATTGTGTGAATGTACCAAAGTTTGGTTATCCATTCCTCAGTTGTTGGACATCTAGGTTGTTTCCAAGTTTTGGCTATTGTAAATAGTGCTGCGATGAACATCGGCGTGCATATATCTGTTCTTGTTATGGCTCTCACTTCTTTAGGGTATATACCTAGTAATGGGATGGCTGGGTCAAATGGTATTTGTATTTCCAACTTTTGAAGGAATCGTTTATGGCCCCCTCTTGACGCCTGTTCTGAAACATGGACCCTGGTGGGCGACTCCTCGAGGCTGCCTGGCTGGCCTGTGCACAGGGGGAACCTTGAGGGGTAGGGCCAAAAAGGTTTTCCAGTGGTTTGAGGGCCTTATGTGCGCGTGGGAAGATCACTCCAGGAAGAGGGGCCGGCATGTGCAAAGGTCCTGAGGCAGGAATGAGCCTGGTGTGTCAGCACAGGGCCCCTGGGACAGAGGCCATGTCCTGGAGGCCTTGGGGCCACCAGAGGGGACTGGACCTTCGGGCCAGGGCAGGGCACTGGGGAGTCTGCTGTGGGCCCCGCAGCCCTGGGGATGGCTCCGGAGGAGGGCAGAGAAGCCTGGGTTCTGGCCACTCCTGAAGGTGGAAGGACGAGGTGAGAGAGGGTGGTCAGGGATGGCCTGGGTGTCCAGCAGGACGGAGGTGGGGTGGGGCCCAGCTTTGGCTGTGCAGCATTGGAGAAGCTGCCAAGCCACCTGTGGGAAGGTGGATGCCGAGGCAGGCTGCTCCTGATGCCGAGGGCCTAGGTGGGGAGGAATGGCTCGGGGACAGGAGAGGCACCCAGGGCAGGAGGTGTTCCCGGAGGAGAAGCTCAGGACATGCAGGCTGAGGCCAGAGAAGTGACTGGCATTCAGCAGAGTCATCGGGGACCAGGCAAGGATGGGTTGCTGAGGCTAGAGGGCTGTGGGGAGCAAGCTGGGGACTAGGATGGTGAGGGGCTGCTTCTGAGGGTCTGCTGGCCATTCATGATGGGAAATTCCAGGCCCGAACAGGGGTGGGTGGCGCCAAGCCCCACAGGCCAGCAGTGGCCACTTTGAAGATGCCTAACGGTCCTATCACAGGTCCACACCTGTCCCAGAGTGTGAGAGGCCAGTTTTGGACAGGATGTTAGTGAGTGGGCACTGCTGGAGGTGACCCCATAAAGAGGGCATTGCAGTGCAGGGAGACAACCTTATGCAGGTGAGGGGTGAGCTTGGCACCCAAGTGGGCACAGGTGGGGGGCAGTGGGGGGCACAGGCGGGGGACACGATTGGGGGGTGGTAGGTGCGAATGGGGGTGGCGGTGGGCATAGGGGGCGGCGGGGGGTACAGGTGCTTGCTGAAGAAGGAAGCAGGGTCCTGGCTGAGGGGCAGGAGTCGTGGAGCAGAGTGCAGGGACGTGGTAGGTGACCCCACGATGGCCCAGTGCACTGGGGGTGCTGAGATGGAGACCCAAGGTGGCCCAGCCTTGCCATCTCCATGGCCTGGGCTGCAGTGACGATGTGGGCAGCCCAGGCTCCCTGCCGGGTCGACCTGGGCTGAGAAGTAGGGGAGGGCTCTGTCCAGCTCACTCCAGGGCAGGCCTTTCCTCTGCTGTCTGCCCCACTGGGCCCCCACCTCAGCGGTGAGTGGGTGGCACCGGGCACAGGGAAGGCAGAGCCGAGGCCACAGGGCACAGGAGGAGACAGTCAGCTCTGGGGCTATCTATCCACATTGGGGAGGGACTGGGGTCTGGTACCTACTTCCTCAGTTGGCCTTGGCCGGGGGCTCCCCTGACCCCAATGGGGAGAGCTTGGCACTGTTCCTCCAGCCCGTAGGGCACCCCCATTGTGCCTCAGCTCTGTTCTCCCAGCAGCCCCTCCTTGCAGGCTGCCCCTGCCCCGTCTTCACTGGGTTTCGGGCTGGACCCCCTGGGGCATGTGGACACCTCAGTGGGGTGGTTCCTGGATAAGCCCAGGGTGAGCCTGGCAGGCTGACTCCTGCCCCCCCCCCAAGAGGAACTGCTGATTGAACGGGTGTCGCACGCTGGCATGATTAACCCCGAGGACCGCTGGAAGAGCCTGCACTTCAGCGGTCACGTGGCCCACCTCGAGCTGCAGATCCGTGTGCGCTGTGACGAGAACTACTACAGCGCCACGTGTAACAAGTTCTGCCGGCCCCGTAACGACTTCTTCGGGCACTACACCTGTGACCAGTATGGCAACAAGGCCTGCATGGACGGCTGGATGGGGGAGGAGTGCAAGGAAGGTGAGGGCCCTCTGGCCGCCCCCGAGCAGCTCTCCCGGGGCGGGCACCCCAGGCCCTCGGCTGCAGCTCCTCCCCTTCTCTCCGCAGCTGTGTGCAAGCAAGGGTGCAACCTGCTTCACGGTGGATGTAGCCTGCCGGGGGAGTGCAGGTGAGTGCGTGAGCCGTCCGCCTGCTCACTCAGGTGCTGTGGGTGCAGCACTTGGTGAGGGAGCCGGGAGGGTTAGGCTTGGCAGTATGGGGGGGTGTGAGGGTTCTGCCACACGAGGCCTGCAAGGCTGGGCTGCGGAAGGTCCGGGGAGGGCCGTGCCACTCGGGGAGGCCTTGAGCCCCCCAGGGGCCGACGGGACAGCACAGTGAGAAGGGGTCGTGCGGCATACCGTTGGAGTGATTGAGAGGGTGTGCTGGAGGGCTCAGGTGGAGGGCCAGCGGAAGGCACCGGCGGAAGGAGGGGGCAGGCTCTGTGTTCTGGGTGCAGCTGAGGGATTTGGGTGTGGATTTGATGTTGTCAGTCCATTCTGACTCATAATGACCCCAAAGGACAGAGGAGAGCTGCCCCACAGGGTTTCCAGGGCTGTAAATCCTTACGGAAGCAGACAGACATCTTTCTGGCGATTCAGACCACCAGCCTTTTAGCTGTCAGTCAAGCGCTTAACCACTGTGTTGCTGTAAGGTCACGACTCAGTGGCACCTGGGTTTGATGTAGGGACTAGAAACAGAGGCAAGAGTCAAGGAGAACCCCAGGCCTTTTGGCTAGAGGCGATGCAGAGTGGGGCTGCTGTGACTGAGAGGGCCATGGGTGAGGTAGGCAGAAGAAAGGTTGATTTTGGGGTGATGTCTGCAGTCTCTTTGACACCCTGGCAGATGCTGAGGAGGAGGAGGTGTATAAGAAGAGGCGGGCCCAGGGCACACTGGGCACCTTTGGCGTGTGGTGGTGTTGAAGCCCGGTGGCTGGGGGCAGATGGATGACAGAGTGGGTGACAGAGCAGGCATGCCCGCTCGGGTCAGAATCAGGACGATGAGGGGTCCCACAGCCAAGTGCCTCGTCACTGCAGCTCTGGCTGTGTGGCTTCTGGTCTTCCTTGACCCCCACGTCTGCTCATTGCTGGACTCTGGTGTTTTGTTGGGAGGATACGGTGAGGAGAGGAGCGGGAGGAGACAGTGGTGGTCTTTGTCTGATAAATGGCAGGGTTGGGGGCAGCCTGAAGGGCCAGGGGGAGGACTGGAGAACTGGAGCCAAGTGGGGCACAGAGGATGCCCTGAGAACAGGTGGAAGTTTTTGGGGTGAGCCCCAGGGAGGAGCTGCTGGGTGGAGGGGCGAGGAGTGTGGGTAAAACCCAGGACCTTCTTGTAGGATGGGAACATGCTTTCAGACAGCCATCGAGACAGAAGTCAAGTAGCCCAAGGTCACAGTCAGGTTTTGGAAGCTGATTGGCCCAGGGAGGGTGGGGTGGCAGGCAGAAGTAGCCAGGGATGGGGGAGGGCACCAGGGGCCTGGGGGGTGGCCTGCCCTGACCCCACGGTCACCTTGTATGTGATGGGCTGAGGCTCCAAGGGGCATCAGGAGGGAGAGAGGACCCCTGGCAGTGTGTATGGGAGGTCCAGCCCAAGGTGGGCTTGTGTCTTAGAGAACAGGGCCCCCCAAGAGCCAGATCCTGAGTGGAGAGAGATGGGTGTGGTCTGGGCAGGGCCCTGCTTGCTGGTGCGCCCCTCTGCTAGGGTAGGACCTTCCTTTCCAGCAGCTCTTGGGTGTGTGCCTGGATATACCATGGGGACTCCAGACAGACACTGCAAGGCCCCCTTCAGTGAACACGGTGGGTCGGGGCTCGGCCCCCTCAGTATAGTGGGGTGGGGCTCGGCCCCCCCAGTGAGTGCAGTGGGGTGGGGCTTGGTGGCCCCCCGGTGAGCACAGTGGGGTGGGGCTCGGCCCCCCTCAGTGAGCGTAGTGGGGTGGGGCTCGGCCCCGCCTAGTGAACATAGTGGGTGGGGCTTGCCCCCCCCCCTTAGTGAGCGTAGTGGGGTGGGGCTCGGCCCCCCCAGTGAGTGTAGTGGGGCAAGACTCAGCCCCCCACAGTGAGCACAGTAGGGTGGGACTCAGCCCCCTTCAGTGAACACAGTGGGGCAGGGCTCGGCTCCCTGCCCCCACTGAGCACAGTGGGGCTGGACTTGACTCCCCCACAGTGAGGACAGTGGGGTGGGGCTCAGCCCCCTCAGTATGGTGGGGCAGGGCTCAGCCCCCCACAGTGAGTGTAGTAGGGCGGGACTAGGCCCCCCACAGTGAACAGGTGGGGCCAGGCTCGGCCCCTCCCTCTGTGAGCTTGGTGGGGTGGGGCTTGGCTCCCCACTGGCTCCAGGGCAGTGCCCGCCTCCAGCTGCTGGCCATAGGAGCTGGGAGCAGGAATGACCAGGGCCACTGCAGCATGAGGGGGGGAACGGGAGTCGCCTGGCCCCACCCCTGCTGCCTGGGCAGGCGGAGGCTGGATGAGGGGGGTTTCAGAGTGCAGGTGAGCCCCGCCCACCGTCTCCCTGGCCCAGTGGGCAGGCGCAGCTGCTACTCAGCTCCGGTTTCAGCCCCACCGGATGCTTGGGAGATGGCCCTGCCTTCCTGCCCGTGGAGCTGCCGGTGGGGAAGCCGGCCAGCTTGGCCGCCCCACCCTGACTTGTAAGCAGGCCCTTGGGACCCTTGGGCCTGGGCTCCATTGCTGGGTGACCCACGGCATGTCACGGCCCCTTCCTGCACCTTGGTTTCCCAATCTCACCTGGAGGAAGGATGCCAGGGAAGACACATAGCTCTGGAAGTGTGAACCATCCTGGGGGTCAGGCTGGGCACCTGAGTGCCACCCAGCAGCCTCGGTTTCCCCACCCCCGGGTCCAGTGAGCGGGCCGACGCCCCCTCAGTGCTGGCCGAGGGTCTGGAGGCGGCTCAGGAAGGGCCGTGGCTTTTTCCTTTTACAAAAATAAATTCACGTGGCAGGGGCTGTCGTGGAAGTGACGTGGCCTGGACGTCATTCTGTCCTGTAGGACCTGTGTATTCTGGGCAAGGGGTCTGGGGTCCAGGTGGGGGGAGCCTCTGCTGCACCAGAATTTCTTCCCCGGGGGCAGTGGCTCTGGTCGGCCAGCCCGGCAGCCTTGGGAGGGACAGGCAGGGATGGGAGGGGCAGGCTTGCACTGTGGACCACGGTGGCCTGTCTGCCTGGCTCCTGCCATTCCTTCTGAACGACTTTATAGGGGAACGCTGGCCAAGAGCATGGGGCGGGGCGTAGGGCAGCAGGCTGGGCCTGGGGGCCAGGGAGGCCTTTGAAGGTACAGCTGGAGTGCTCCCCGGGTCTAGAATGACCTTGTGTCTGGCTTTAGACAGGACTGGCTTGGGGCAGCGTTCAAGCCTCAGTATCCAAATCTGTGAAATGGGCCAATTAAGGGCTTTGTGGGGAGAAAGAAAGGTCACTGCCTCTAAGTTGTGGTCAAGGCCACAAGACCAAAGCGGCGCTAGGACTCCTCTTCCCACACCGTGTGCCCTGCAGACCCTGGTGTCTCCTGGCCCTGGTAGCACCTGGCCCATTCAAGCTGGTGTGCTCCTCCCTGGGGTCCCTGCAAGGCCTTTCCGGCGCCTGCTCTTGGGGCCCCAACCCAGGGTTGCATCCCAAAATAGCACAGGGAAGACTGATGGGACAGCTGGGGCTGACCAGCCAGCGGCCAGCGGCCGGGAAATGCCCGTGACAGTGAGGCTGCCCAGTGGGGCCATCGCCCTGCCTGGCCTGGGGCCCAGCCAGTTCAAAGGCCCAGGCCGCCTGCCTGGCTCCAGCGGGTGTCCCCAGCACCCCTGGGCTTCACCGCCTCCCCTTACCCAGGTGCAGCTACGGCTGGCAGGGGAAGTTCTGTGACCAGTGTGTGCCTTACCCTGGCTGTGTGCATGGCAGCTGTGTGGAGCCCTGGCAGTGCACCTGTGAGACCAACTGGGGTGGCCTGCTCTGCGACAAAGGTGAGGCTGGCACTATGTGAAGAAGGAGGGGCAGGGCTGGGTGGGGTCTGACCCTGCAGGCCCTCTGCCCCCAGACCTCAACTACTGTGGCAGCCACCACCCCTGCACCAATGGAGGCACGTGCATCAATGCTGAGCCGGACCAGTACCACTGCGCCTGCCCAGAGGGGTACTCTGGCAAGAACTGCGAGCGGGGTACACACCAGGCGTGTGGGGCCCGGGGGCGGGGCAGGAGTGTTGTGGGAGGAGCCAGGGCTTCACCCACCTGCCCTCACCCACCACCCTGTTCTGGTTGCCTAGCTGAGCACGCCTGTGCCTCCAACCCCTGTGCCAATGGGGGCTCTTGCCACGAGGTGCCATCTGGTTTTGAGTGCCACTGCCCGTCGGGCTGGAGTGGGCCCACCTGTGCGCTCGGTGAGTGCCTCACACGGGCCTCCAAGGAAGGCCGTGTACGGGGGAGCCTGGGAACATTGTGGTGGGCCGGGGGTGAGTGGCAGAAGACCCAAGGACCTTCCACATCCACCCTAGCCTCACAAGTGCCACAGGTCACCACAGGAAACTGGACATTGTCCTGGTAGGCTGCCAGGCCTGCTCTGCTCACTCCAAGCCGCAGAACCTCTTGGCCTTTTGCAGACTTGCTTGGAGAGGGGCTGCACAGCTCCGCCCCCCCCACGGCCCCGCCCCCCCCACGGCCCCACCCCCACGCGGCTCTTTTCTGTCTCCACAGACATCGATGAGTGCGCCTCAAACCCTTGTGCAGCAGGCGGCACCTGCGTGGACCAGGTGGACGGCTTCGAGTGCATCTGTCCGGAGCAGTGGGTGGGGACCACGTGCCAGCTGGGTAAGGACCCCCAGGGGGCAGCGCATGCACTGTGAGCCTGCCCGGCTGCTGCCGCTGCTCCCGCTGCTGCTGCTGCTGCTGCTGCGGTGTTGGGCGCCGTGGGCAGGCCGGCCCAGCCTCTCTCCCTTGTCTCGTCCGCAGACGCCAATGAGTGTGAAGGGAGGCCGTGCCTTAATGCTTTCTCTTGCAAAAACTTGATTGGTGGCTATTACTGTGATTGCATCCCGGGCTGGAAAGGCGCCAACTGCCACATCAGTCAGTATGGGGTGGGGCGCAGGGGGCAGGGCTGTGGCCATCAGGGCCCTCCGCGTGACCCTACCCTCTGTCCCCAGACATTGACGACTGCCGGGGACAGTGTCAGCATGGTGGCATCTGCAAGGTGAGGTGAAGCTGGCCACCGGGGGGTGGCCTGGGGGCCAGGGTGCGTGAGCCTCACTGGTCCCTCCCACCACAGGACCTGGTGAGCGGGTACCAGTGCGTGTGCCCCGCGGGCTTCAGTGGCCGACACTGTGAGCTGGAGCGGGATGAGTGTGCCAGCGGCCCGTGCCGTGGTGGTGGTCTCTGTGAGGACCTAGTGGACGGCTTCCGCTGCCACTGCCCTAAGGGCCTATCTGGGCCCCTGTGTGAGGTGAGAGACACTGGGACCCAGGGACAGACAAGACAAGGGCCTGAATCCCCGTGCCTGGCTGATCAGAACCAGGAGGCAGGGCTCGCTGTCCCTGGGGACACTGGGCCCCATCCCAAGGGGTCCGCTGGTTGCTCAAGGACCCAGAACCCTCGCCTATCTGAAGTGAACACTTACCCCCACCGTAGGTCCTGGGGGCAGGCCCAAGGGCAAGGCCTGTGCTGTCTGGAGAGGGCCTGGGGTGGACACTGCTGCGCGGGGAAGGCTGGCTCAGAGAGGCTGTGCGGGAAGAGTCCCTGGAAGCTAGCTCTCCTGCCTCAGGACCAGGGCGGACACTGCCTGCCAAGGCAGAGGAAGCTTGGCTGCCCTGGAGATGGGGGTGTTGGAGGTGTTTGCAGCCAGCTGACCATGCATGGCCGTCTTGGGTGGGTGGGTACGAGGGTCCTGGCTGTCTGAGCTGGGTAGCCTCAGGCCTCAGGGATTCCTGGCATGGAGCCTGGCCCGTCCCCAGACTCCCATGCTGCGTCCTCACATATCCTGAGGCCCACAGGTAGATGTGGACCTGTGTGAGCCCAGCCCCTGCCAGAACGATGCCCGCTGCTACAACCTGGAGGGTGACTACTACTGCGCTTGCCCTGATGACTTTGGTGGGAAGAACTGCTCTCTTCCCAGGGAGCCATGCCCCGGCGGGGCCTGCCGAGGTGGGCACCAAAGCCAGGCGGGGGGCGGGGGCTGGCAGGGCCTGCCGAGGTGGGCAGGGAGGCCGGGCAGGGTGCAGGGGACTGGCTGGCAGTGCCTGCCAAGGTGTGCGGGGTGGCCAGGCAGGGGGCAGGGAGCCGGCAGGGTGCAGGGGCCAGTGGGGCAGGGTGGGCCTGACCTGCTGGCCTGTCTCCTGTAGTGATCGATGGCTGTGGGTTAGAGGCGGGAGCCCGGGTGCCTGGTGCCATGCCCTCTGGTGTGTGCGGCCCCCACGGACACTGCATCAGCCAGCCGGGTGGCAACTTCTCCTGTGTCTGTGACAGTGGTTTCACAGGCACCTACTGCCATGAGAGTGAGTGGACTGGGGGCAGGGCTGGGGGCTGGGGACGGGAGCTAGGTGGGGAGCTGTGGATGGAGAGGGTCAGGACACGGGGCCTGGGTGGGGAGCTGGGGATGGGACTGAGCTGGGTTGGCTAAGGCCCAGGCTCATGCACCCCACCTCTGCAGACATTGACGACTGCCTTGGCCGGCCCTGCCGCAACGGGGGCACGTGCATTGATGAGGTGGATGCCTTCCGCTGCTTCTGCCCCAGTGGCTGGGAGGGCGAGCTGTGTGACACCAGTGAGTGGGCGGAGCCCTGAGACCTGCCCAGGCCTGTGCTGGGCCCAGGAGGCTGTGCACCCACTGCCCTCCACCCCTGTGAGCCTGGGGTGCCGCCTCCCCCGCACCCCGGCCAGGCGCATCCCCACCCCCCTCACTCCCTGCCTCTCTTCCTGGCCCTGCTCTGTGCCTCTTCCCTCAGAAAGTCCTCCCCATAGCCCCCCACTGACCAGCTTGCTCACCCCTAGATCTCAACGACTGCCTCCCTGACCCCTGCCACAGCCGCGGCCGCTGCTACGATCTGGTCAATGACTTCTACTGTGCCTGTGACGACGGCTGGAAGGGCAAGACCTGCCACTCGCGTGAGTGCTGGCCTGCACCCTGCGCCCTCTGTCACCTTGCAGGGCAGGGGCGGCCTGCTGAGCCACTGTGTGCCCACAGGCGAGTTCCAGTGTGACGCCTACACCTGCAGCAATGGGGGCACGTGCTACGACAGTGGGGACTCCTTCCACTGTACCTGTCCCCCAGGCTGGAAGGGCAGCACCTGCAGCGTTGGTGAGGGGCCGCCCACTCCCCCACCCCCCATCCCACCCCTCCCCGTGCCTTGGGCCAGCCTCTGCCCCCTCCCTGCACCCTGGGCCAGCCCTGTTGGGGTTGGGGGGGTCTGCGCAGGGCCAGCTGAGCAGACCTCTCTTCCCGCCCTTGCTGCCTGAAGCTGAGAACACCGGCTGCCTGCCCAACCCTTGTGTGAACGGCGGTACCTGCGTGGGCAGTGGGGATTCCTTCTCCTGCATCTGCCGAGACGGCTGGGAGGGCCGCACCTGCACGCACAGTGAGGCCGGGGGCCCGGAGAGCCTGGGGGTGTGCCTTGGGGGCTGGGGGGGGGGCTGGGGATGTGGGAGACTTGGGGGTGCAGGGGGCCTGGGGTTGTGGGGAACCTGGAGACACAGTGAGGCTGGGGGCATGAGGGGCCTGGGGGCACAGTGAGATGGGGGCTTGAGGATGCCAGGTGGGGGCCCTGCCAATCACTCACCCTGCCAGAGGCCCTGCTGAAATGCAGCCCTTCCCCCCCTTCACCCCAGCTGAAGGCCGTCAATCTATGTCCACCTTCTTAGCCAGTTAGGCCCGCTTCCTCCAGGAAGCCTACCCTGCCCTACGGCCTGGTCCCGCCGGCCAGTGGCTGGGGCTCCATGAGGGCTGCCAGGCCCCACGCCTGGGCATAGTAGGGCCTGGGTGGGCAGCCACTTGAGTAACCGCTGTCTCTTGTTCTTTTCTTGAACGCAGACACCAATGACTGCAACCCGCTGCCCTGGTGAGTGGCTGTGGAGGCGGGGGGAGTTGGGGCCTGGCTGGCATAGTGGGCCCCTGTAATGCCCCCTTCTTCCCTACAGCTACAATGGCGGTGTCTGTGTGGACGGTATCAACTGGTTCCGTTGCGAGTGTGCACCCGGCTTCGCAGGCCCCGACTGCCGCATCAGTGAGTCGGGGGGCAGAGCCCGTGCTACCCACGGCTGAGGGGCAGGGTGGTCACAGGCCAATCCCTCTGTCTCCCTAGCCTCAATGTCTGCCTAGGCAGCCCCGGTGAGAAAGAACGCCCTCCCAGTGCAGGCTGGCACATACAGCCTACTGAGGCCCCTCCACGGCCCAGCCTGGTGGCGGCGGTGTTGGTCAGCTGTTTGTCCAGCCAACACCCCATGCCTGCAGCTGGGCCCCCTGGGGGCCTCCGTCTGGCCCCCATCCACTCCAGGACGTGCTGCTTTGCTAGTCTCAGGCGCAGGACAGGCCAGGCCCAGCGGGCCGCCGGGGTGAACTGAGGCTTGCGCCAGACTGCCCTCCTTCGCCAATCCACCTCCCGGGCCTCCTTGCTGGCTGTTGAGCTCTAGTCCTTCCTGCAGACATTGATGAGTGCCAGTCCTCGCCCTGCGCCTACGGGTCCACTTGTGTGGATGAGATCAACGGTTACCACTGCAGCTGCCCACCTGGCCGGGCTGGGCCACGGTGCCAGGAAGGTCAGCTGGGCAGAAAGGGGGACGTGGTGGGGCATGCAGGGTGGGTGTGGAGGGGTGCTGGGCAGGGAGTGGGGCATGGCGGGTGGGAGGGCTGCCTACTGGATGGGAGGGTTGCATGCTGGGGCAGGTATGTGCTGGCTGGTGGGGAGGGTGTGCTGGCTGAGGGGCATGCTAGGTGGGAGGGCTTTGTGTTGGGGGACGTTCGTATTAGTTGAGGGGAGGGGCTGCCGGGTGGGAGAGGCGTGCTGGGTTGGGGTGATGTGTCGGGGTGGAGGGTTGTGGCTGGCCTGCAGCCCCTGTGTGCGGCCTGGTGGGTGTGCCAGGTGATGGGGGCTGTACCAGCTGTTGCTTGGTGGGGCGCAGTGGACCTGACCCTGGCTCCTCCCACAGTGATCGGGTTTGGGCGGTCCTGCTGGTCCCAGGGCGTGCCCTTCCCACACGGGAGCTCCTGGGTGGAGGATTGTAACAGCTGCCGCTGCCTGGATGGCCACCGGGATTGCAGCAAGGTGCAAGGGGCCTTCGTCCTCTCCCCACCCTGCTCTGGACCCTGGAGGATGGGGTGCCCCTCTGCCTGCCGAGGCTCACCTTACAGCAGCCCCAACAGTGGGTCTGGCCGTCCATAATCCTGACCCTTCTCGGCGGGCAGTGGATCAGTCTCTGAGACCTCTGCCTGGACCCCGCCTAACTTCACCCCTCCGTTGCACCCTCTGAGGGCTGGCCCTGCTCAGCCTGCCTCCCTGGGTCCTGGGGGCGAGGGGCAGGCAGGAAGATGCTGTCTCTGGCCCTTAGGGGGTTGTGGTCTGCGTCTGGGTGCATGTCCTCATGTGCTGCATCTGCCCCAGGTGTGGTGTGGGTGGAAACCCTGCCTGCTGACCGGCCAGCCCGATGTGCTGAGTGCCCAGTGTCCGCCAGGGCAGCGGTGCCAGGAGAAGGCACCGGGCCAGTGCCTGCAGCCCCCATGTGTGGCCTGGGGGGTGTGCAGCACTGAGGAGCCCCTCCAGCCCAGCACGCCCTGCCTGCCTCACTCTGGCCACCTGGACAGCAACTGTGCCCGCCTCACGCTGCGGTTTGACCGAGACCAAGTGCCCCAGGTGTGTGCCTACGCCCCCAGCCTTTCTGGGAAGGCTGATCTGATCTAACCGCGTGAACCCGGTTCTAGCTGCCCTGGCCAGCTGGGCATTGGCTCAATATAGTGGGCTCAACAGGCCCAGATTGGGGGTGCTTGTGGGTGGGTAAGTGAGAGGGCAGGTGTGGGTGCCTGGGTGCTGGGTGGGGGTGGCCGAGGGTGCAGGGGGGCAGCGGGGCCCAGGCTGCGATGGCTGTTCACCTGACTGGACCTAGGTGGGAGGTGACTGTGAACCCACAGCTCTGCTACTCCAGACACTCTCACCCTAAGCCCTTCTGGGGCTTAGGAGGTGATGAAGTTGGCTTACGGGTGGGCACCAGGCACAGCCACCTCATTGGTGGGAAGGGCAGTCTGGCACCTCGGGCCTGGCCCCTGCCCTCGGCGTTCCAGGACAGATGTGTGGTGCTGGCTGTGGGCGGAACCCCCCGGGTCCATCTCACGGCCTGCTGGGTCTGCCCAGGGCACCACTGTGGGCGCCATCTGTGCCGGGATCCGCTCCCTGCCAGCCACCAGGGCTGTGGCCCGGGACCGCCTGCTCGTGCTGCTCTGTGACCGGGCATCCTCGGGGTCCAATGCTGTGGAAGTGGCCTTGGTGAGTGCCAGGGGGTGGGGCAGTGCCCCGCTGCGGCCACCTTGCTTGCTGTCTGGTGAGGTGCATGCCTGGTTGAGGGTGGGGTCCTAGCCAGGCTCCGCCCCAGCACATGGGAGATAGGTGTTCTCCCAGGACTATGGGCACTCTGGGGGGTGGCTGTGGGCCAGTGGGTAGAGTGGGAGGAGAGGACAGTGGCTGTTAAGGCCGCAGGCTGTGCCCAGCAGGCAGCAACCACTGGAAGATCCCGCAGCCAGACAGGAAGCAGGCTGGGCCCTGTGGGTGTGCGTGGGTGGGGGTGGGGTGAGGGACAGGAGAGCAGCGTGAGGGCATTCTAACGCTGCAGGAAGAGGCAGAGTTGCGACCGGTGTGCGGTGCAGTCAGGGACAACAGGGCAGCTCCCTAAGGGGCACGAGCAGGGACAGGTCACCTCATCCTTGTGTGTCATCGTGTGGAAGGGCAGAGAGAGGCACATAGAGGCTTTTTTTTTTTTTTTTTTGAAGAGTTGGTTTTAATTCAACATAACGTACATTTAGTTTCATTCCCCATTCACCATGTCCAACCCTAACCCAGTCTCCCCTCCCTACCCTGTAACCCTACCCCTGTGCCCCTCATATTTATGCACTCCTGTTTGTCCTGCATTTCCTCAATTTGAATGTTGGTCCTCTGGTGTCCCATGCAGATAGAGGCTTGGAAGGTGGGTGCTGTGGCGGTGAGGAGGGGTGCGGGGGTAGGGGGCCCAAGCACCGCCACAACCCCCCGCAGCCACCCAGGGCGTGGAGTCCTGAGCTAGGCTTGCGGAGGCATGGACCCCAGCCTGGCTTGGACACGGCCCTCAGCGCTGTGCCCTGTCCCAGTCCTTCAGCCCAGCCCGGGATCCAGCGGATAGCAGCCTGGTCCAGAGTGCGGCCCACGCCATTGTGGCTGCCATCACACGTCAGGGGAACAGCTCACTGCTGCTGCCTGTCACCGAAGTCAAGGTGGAGACAGCGGTTGTAGGCAGCTCCTCCACAGGTAGGAGGACCTGGGCGCAGTGACCCCTGCTGGGAAGGGTCCCCAGCCCCGGGCCCCTCCAGCCCCACCATCCCAGCCTTTCTCTGGGACCCTCCCGGCCTCACCACCAGCCAGGACACCGCAAGCGGCATCACCCAGCCAGCCAGGCCCCGGCCTTTGCTGCGGGGCCGTGCAGGTCCCAGGCGCCCAGGCCACGCCCTCACGCCCACCCTCCGGCCCGCAGACCTGCTGGTACCCGTGCTGTGTGGCGTGTTCAGTGTGCTGTGGCTGACTTGCATCGCCATCTGCGTGTGGTGGACGCGTAAGCGCAGGAAAGAGCGGGAGAGGAGCCGGCTGCCGCGTGAGGAGAGCGCCAACAACCAGTGGGCGCCGCTCAACCCCATCCGTAACCCTATTGAGCGGCCGGGGGGCGGAGGCCTGGGCGGTGGCGGCGGGGGCCACAAGGACGTGCTCTACCAGTGCAAGAACTTCACGCCACCGCCGCGCAGGGCGGGCGAGGTGCTGCCCGGGCCAGCGGGCCGAGGGGGCAGCGAGGACGAGGACGAGGAGGAGCTGGGCCGCGGCGAGGACGACTCCCTGGAGGCGGAGAAGTTCCTTTCGCACAAATGCACCAAAGACCCGGGCTGCATGCCAGGGCGGCCAGCCCTCTGGGCCTCGGGCCCCAAGGTGGACAACCGTGCGGTCAGGAGCGTCAAGGACACCCGCTCCGCCAGCAAGGAGTAGGGCTGCGGCGCCATGCGGCCGAGGCTGTGCACATAGTGTCTTTATTTTGTGTAAAAAAAGAAAAAAGCAAAAAACAAATGTTTATTTTCTACGTCTCTTTGACCTTGTATAAATTATTTGTGACGGTCGGGCGGCAGGCGACGGCGCGTTCTTGGAGATGCTATTTTTGTAACGTTTCCCTGCAGTGCTCTCACCGGGTGGCAGAGCGCAATGAGGGCGGCTGTGTTTTCACCAAATCGTGTAATGTTTGCTCCCAGAGGTTGGACACTGTTTACAGATTCTTCCTTTTTATTCCTCACTTGGGTTTCTCAGTGGCTCCAGGCCAAAGGGCCGGTGGGACTCATGGCTATTGGTTTGGCCCATGGCTGTCAGCGTGGCCTGTGGCCGTTGGCGTAGCCCATGGCTGTCAGCATGGCTCATGGCCGTTGGCTTGGCCCATAGCTGTCAGTGTGGCCTGTGGTTGGTGTGGTTCATGGCTGTCGGCGTGGCCTATGGCTGTTGGCGTGGTTCATGGCTGTCGGTGTGGCCTGTGGTTGGTGTGGTTCATGGCTGTCGGCGTGGCCTGGGGCTGTCGGTGTGGCCTCTGGCTCCATGGGAGTCAGTGGGACTCGGGTGTTAACGTGTCCCATGGCTATTGGTGTGGCCCATGGCTGTCAGTGGGACTTGTGGCTGTCAGGGTTGCCTGTGGGGGTCAGTGGGACTCCTTGTTGTTGGCATGGCCCATGGCGGTTGGCAGGACCTGTGGCTGCCAGTGTGGCCCCTGGCCAGTGCCCCGGAGCCTCCTGTCCTCGCCCCCCTCCTCCTGGCACGTCTGTTCCAGAGATCTCCCAACTGTGCTCAGAAGTGCCCTTCCTGCTGCCCTGTCTCCTTCGAGGTGACGGCAGCACCGAAGCCCCTGACAAGTGCCTTCACAGCTCCTCCCTCGCGACTGTCAGCGTCCACCGCGGGCACCAGGCCGCTGCCCACCGCTGGCCCCCGGCCGCCCCTCCTTGTGAAAGTGCATTTTTGTAAATATGTACATATTAAACGAATCGCTCTGTATATTTGATTTAATAACTTAAACGTTTTGGTCTCCCTCCTTCCTTGAGTGGTGCTCCTGTTTTCTTTGGAATTGCGGCGGGGGCAGGGTGGTGCTGGAGAGCTGGTGCATGGACTGGCTGCCACCAGTGCCCACACGTATGTCACCGTATTGGGGTGATGAGGTGACATGAGCACAGGGTGCCGTGCGTCAACCCACTCACTAGAACCAGCTACAAAAAGCTTTATGAAGTAGCTTAAGGCGGCTTAGCCATGAGCTGTCCAGGTTTCAGGGACTTGCCAGGCCACACCTTGGGAACGTGAAAGGCAGACATGCAGCTCTCGGGAGCGGGGTTGGAGCTGCTCTTGCTTCTTACTGGTGGAGCCAATGGGCCTGACGGCTTGGTGGCCAGCGGGCCTGGGGTGTCTCTGAGGTAGCTCCTTGGCATGTGTGCCAGCTGTTTACTGCCCTGCAGGGGGTCAGCCAGTGGACCTAGTCGAGGACCAAAGCCAAGAGCAGGGTCTCTAAGCAGAGGAGAGCTGCACAGCATGGGCATGGTGAGTGGGTTGACGTGATGGGCACAGGGCGTGGGTCTGTGCGTTTCGTTAGGTGAGCTGACTAGCTGGTTGCAGCCAGGAACCTATCCCTGGACCACGGCCCTCGAGGATGACAGCTGAGGAGCCAGAAGTGATTCCTGTTGTCACGGATTCTCTAGAGAGCGGTGACAGTGGGCTGCAGCTGCAGTGACTCCTAACAAGCCGTCTCGCGAAGCCTGCCTGTGTCCTTTGTCACCTTCTCCACTGTGCAAGGTTCAGGAGCAGGCTGAGGGGACCCCCTCACCAAAGCATGTACCCTCGGCATGAGAGGAAGCGAGTCAAACCCTCCTTGCCCAGGGGTTGCAGGCAGATCGGCTGGAAAATCTGCCCTTGAGAAGCTATGGTTTATGTAGGGACACACAGCCACGCTCCCACCGTGGGGCGGGCTGCAAAAACCTCAAGCTTTGAGTTTACTTGTAAACAGTTTGCCTAGCGTGCGGGGCTGTCGGGGGCTGGTGGGAGGCGAGCTGCATCCATTCCTGGCCTCTGTGCACCTCCTGTCTGTGAGCCAACCACAGCCAAAAGCAGCGCACACAGGGAAACCTGGAACCATGAGCAACAGCCTTCAGAACCAGACCTGTCCAGGTATCAGACCGAAGTGGGAGTTACCAGAGACCGTTTGCCTACTAGGCTCTGAGAAGGGAGCCACAGGCTGGCAGCACTGATGAGCCCATAGAGAGCTTTAACCCAGCAATGTGGAAAAGATCCAAGTAGACCTAGAAATGAAAAATGGAATCTCCAAACCCTGAACTCAAACCGTTGAGCAGTGACTTGCAGACACTGCTGAAAGGGGAGTTAGTGAACTGGAGGGGAGGTCGGGAGGAATAACGTAGAACACATTCCGGGGAGACGAGAGGGAAATGGGGGAGGCCAGCAGCTGACCGAGGGGCAGTGGGCCTGTGGGGATGGTCAGAACTGACCAGACTCGAGGTACACAGAGATGGGGGGGGGGGGAAGGCCAGCAGCTGACTGAGGGGCAGTGGGCCGGTGGGGACGGTCAGAGCCGATTGGACTCGGGGTACGCAGGAGGAGCAGGTGTGACAAACAGAGCCAGGACTGCTTGCTCTCCTGTAGAGTGCGTGATGCTGGCTCACGCCTGCCTGCCTACGAGGAATGCCACATGCCCCTCAGATTGTGAGGAAAGCCCTAAAGGTATGTAACCTCCAGTGGGCCTGAGGTTTCGGGGGCTCACAGGACACAGCAAGGCCTGTGTTCCTCAGTGGGGAGGCCAGTGTTGGTGGTGTTGCAGTGTGCCTTGCACCAAGTGTGCAATTGACTCTGTACACATATGTGCACATGTGTATGCGTGCGCACACATTTGCATGCATGTGTGCGTGTGTGTATGTAAAGTGTGCGTGGCCTGCTGCCCCTAAGCCTGCCATCTAGCGTCCTGAATATGTTAGCCTTCTTCCCCTGCTGCCTGGGCCCCGATTCCGGCCCAGCTGAGGGAGGGCGATGCTGCCCAGAACCTGGTGCCTGGCTGGGGCGTGCCTTCCCAGTTACCGCCTGGGGCTGGTGGTCACAGCCGGGGCTAGTGATCTGGGCTGGGCCTGGCGTGTTCCAGGTTCCCCCCTTTCCTGCTCACGTCTCTCCAGGGCAAAGGAGCTCACCCTCACGTTCAGAGCTGCTGACCCAATGTCCACGCTCTGTGTGGCCATGGACCGCCAGGCCCCTCAGACCCCTTCACCCTGCCAGCCACTGACTCAGCCTGGCTGCCTGCCCCCAGCGGTGCCTGTCCTCACCCGGGTGGGTTCGGGCTGGTAAATTAGCCCCCAGAGAGGGGCAGCTGCTTTGTTGGGAAGTTCAGCAGAAGGAGACTCACTGGAGGTGCCCCAGCTGGCAGTGCCTGCCGTGGCTGAGGCTGCTGCTGGGACCTGGGATGTCCTGGGCAACAAGAAGGGTGGTGGCTGGCAAGGCTCATAGCACCCACACCGTCAGCCTGGGTGGTGGGACCTAGGACTCTGCTGTTTACTGCACACAGTGCAGCAAGAATCCATGCTGGTGAGGAGACAGAAAAGGAGGCAGCCCAGTGTCTGGGCACCTGGCCAGTTGGTTCACTGGACACTGCCCTTGGCCCCCCGTGGACCACATGCCCACCAACCTACCCGCTCTCTGCATGGCAGCAGGTACCTCCTCCTGACAGCCCATCCCACCCCTGCTACCCTATTACTACCACTGCTCCTCTGCCTATCTCTTCCTCCTGCTGCAGGGTTCTTAGGAAGTTCAGTGGGGCTCTATCTGCAGTGGATTGGGGGCTGTACCAGTCCCAGGGCAACATCAAGCAAGCCCTATCCCTTGAATCGGATGGCCATGGAGTAGAGGCTTGGAGCCACGGGTCTGGAGTGGGTCAGGGGTGGCTCACAGACCCACAGCATCTTGTGCCTCGTTGAGGTCAAGGGCCCAAATGGGGTGTGAGTGAGAGAAGATGGGGCTGGGGTCTTCAGACACACTGTGGGCAGTCAGGCTGGAAGCAGGGACTGCTGCGAAGGTGGGTCACAGTGGCTTGGTGAAGACCTGCCAGAGGGGCCTGGCATGTGTCAGCCACGTGGCTCTGGTCGGTATGCTGGGAGGGGTGTGAGGCTGAGGTGACTCTAGGAGAGGGACTTGACCACTGTGGTACCAGGTGTAGGTAGGGCAGGTGTGCACCCCTTGGAGACCACCCCCCAGTTCCCCCACATGCTCTGGGCAGGAAGTAGTGACCGAGGCTGGACTGAGACTGTCCTGAGCAGGCAGTGTCTGTGGGCACAGGAGCAACTTGGAGGACACTTGACAGTGCCACCCGCCTGCCCACCTGCCCGCCTGGTGCTTCCTCGGTGACAGTGCCACCCGCCGGCCCACCTGCCCGCCTGGTGCTTCCTCGGTGACAGTGCCACCCGCCGGCCCACCTGCCCGCCTGGTGCTTCCTCGGTGACAGTGCCACCCGCCCGCCCACCTGCCCGCCTGGTGCTTCCTCGGTGACAGTGCCACCTGCCCGCCCACCTGCCCGCCTGGTGATTCCTCAGTGCCTACCCTGGGGACCGCACCAGCTGTTCTGCTTGGCGACAGCTCTGACTGCTGTGTCTCCGAAGAAACTGGGCCCTGGGGAGCTGGGAGGAGATTCTCCCAGGAGCCCTGGCCCAGGCAGCCTGGCCCGTTTAACCCCTGCAGGCTGGGTGGCAGGTGGCTGGTGCTGACTTCTTGGCAGCCCCAGGTCCCTTTTCAGCTGCCCCAACCTGGCTGGGCCGGCCCCTTCCTCCTCAGGCCCTGGGCCTGCATCTCCCAAGGAGCTAGGCCAGCAGGGGCCATGAAGGTGACCCTGGGCAGAGCTGTGGCTCCAGGCGCCTGGCTGGGAGGGGCTTGGAGACAGCCACATATGCAGGATAACCAAGGCAGGGGAGGACAGGGCC